ACGTCGTAGTCTTCCCAGCACCATTGATTCCCAACAACCCAAATACTTGTCCCGAATCAGCAGCAAAGGAAACTCCTTTCACTGCATGCACAGCTCTCGAGGGGTCAGCTACTAGGGAGCCTCTCGGGAGGTAACTAAACATAATTTCGTCATGCGCGGTAATTTTCTAAGGTAGAGTAGAACCACTTAACGTAAGAAAATACGCCAACCCTTTTTTGTGGAGTTTCACCCGTGATATGGAGAAACAGTAGCAAAGGACGCAATGGAGTTTCACGACCCGTTTTACGTGAAGTGGCGTAATACTCGGCGAAAAACGCGATATTCGCGGTGATATTCAGTAGTCGTGAAACGTGTTATCCATATCACAGTCGTGAAAATCCAATGAATAACGCGTAAAACTGATAATGTGTTCGAGTGGGGTAAATTGTCCCGCATAATTCGCAGAGTATTTTCTATTCACTCCGCGTTTTTCACATATAGTATTACTCCACTTCACGTAAAACGCGTAAAACTACATAATGCAAAAAACGCACGCACAGTAGTTCATAGAAAAAATCAACTCCCAGAATTATTTGTCGAACTTAACCAATGTTGGAATATATGTTCTCTTTCCTCAGCTGAGCTCGAGAGTTTCCTCACCAACAATAGCAGTTTATATACGAATTCGCATAAAAGTGTACATAAACCAACAATCGAGTTTCACGACCGTGATATGAAAAAAACTAGTGAAAAACATATTTCCCGACTACTGCATATCACCGCGAATATCGCCTTTTTCACCCAGTTTTACGCCATTTCACGTAAAACGGGTGGTGAAACTCCAATAAAATTAAGAAATTTCGTAATCATCACCAACACATGTGCATATTCCACCCCCTAACGTAACACGAGTAAAACTCCTATTTTCACACAAGCATACGCATTAGATTTTTATCAAAAATCCTCAAAGGAAATACCAGAGTTAAATGTTTACCATTTCCTGACATTATCAACTGCCAGAATTTGTTTTTGTTTTTCCAATTTCGCAACTCGCTCTTTCTCTACCACAACATCCTCATCTTCTGCCGCTAGCTGATCTTCGGGTATCGGACTAATACGAAAATTCATAGATGCCTAATTTTTTCCATCACGAGCATTATAATTTCCAATTTTCGTAATTTCTACCTTTTTTCGTAATTCTTTTTATTCCTAGTTTTTTCTCATAATTTTAATTCCAAGTTTTTCTCTTAATTTTTAATTTCTGTTTTTTCATATTTTTTAGTTTTTCCCATAATTTCTATTTTTTTCATAATTTTTAGTTCATTTCATATTTTTTTAGTTTCTGGCTTTTTATGATTCATAATTTCTTTTTTCCTCATTTCTGTTTTTCCTATAAACTCTAATTGCTACCTCAAGTTCATAATATATTTCGAATTTTCTCTTCTCGTGAATTTTCGGTTTTTCTCCAAATTTTCTCCCAAAAGCATCATAATTTCCTTCTCCCCAACAACAGCCGCAACTTACCATCGTTTTTCCAATTTCATCCTATACGATAACCACTTGCCACTCGTGCCAAGATGATCCAACCATATGCATAATAAGAGGTATGCCATACCGGCAAACGCGAGATACACCAAGTCATCAGCGACTCCACCATAACACTGATTTCGAGTGCCCAGAGTTTTGTTCGTACATGTACCTGTCAAGAAATTTGACGGAAATTACGGTGTTGAAATATATGTTTAATTTCCTGAGCTGAGCGTAAGAGTTTCCTCACTAATTATAGAAATTCCGCTAGTAGAAGTGAACAGAAACCAATAAGAATTTCCAAAAATTTCCTCAGAATTTTCATACTGTCACCGACACATGTAGTTGGTCACTAAATCCTACTAATACATATGATGTCAATAAACTCTACTCATACATATACTGTCACTAAATTCTACTAATACTGTCACCAAACTCTACTCATACATATACTGTCACTAAATTCTACTAATACTGTCACCAAACTCTACTCATACATATATACTGTCACTAAATTCTACTTATACATATATTGTCACTAAATTCAGTTAATATTGTCACTAAATTCTACTAATCTTGTCACTAAATTCCACTAATACTCACCAAAAATCTCCGACCCCCATGGATCAACTCCAAGAAAGGATACATAAATTGCCATACGATAAAAACCAAAGCCCAACGCGAATGGTGGTATAAAACGGAATATCCACATCAGTACGTTGCCAGCAACCTGAATCAAAAAATCAACGGAGTTTCACCAAGGTGATACGAAAAAAGCACTAGTGAAAAATATATTTCACGACTACTGCGCATATCACTTGCCACTTCACTTTCCAATAAAAATAACAAAAATTGTAGGAATAACACTGTTGGACAAATATATGATCTTTCCCTCAGGCTGAGGGCCTCAGCTGAGCTCAGAAGTTTCCTTAGTAATCATAGCAGTTTATGCACGAATTCGGGTAAAAGTGTACATAAACCAACAGCAGTTTACTCCAGAATTTTCCCAGTATTTCCAACACATGTAGTTGGTGATTATGTGCATATTTTTTCGTATATTGGAGTTTCACCCATTTTACGTGAAGTGGCGTAAAACTCGGTGAAAAACGTAAAATATATTTTTCACTAGTGTTTTTCATATCACGGTCGTGAAACTCCATTAAACCATATATGTTGGTAACAATATGAAAATTCCGTACAAAGTAAACGCATATTCCTCCAACACTACTACAGAAAAAGTAGATTCGCATCACACATAATATCCCTCCTTGCCTCACCAAGCAGTCTTCGCAGAATTCCTCAGGAATCGTCTGTAGCACCGAAACCACAATAACCACGATCGTTCCAACAGCAATGTTCAGCACTATCGTCACCGTTTGCGCGGAGAATTGCGTCTTATACAAAAATGATATCAAATATGCGTACCTGAAATATTGTAATTTCAGCTGTGGTATGGAAAAAAACATATTTCACGCGAATATACGCTCTCACTTCACTTAGTAAAACGGGTGGTGAAACTCCACTGAAAAGATCCCCAGTTCTATTTCACAGCTTACGTTGAGGCTGACGGGGCGAACAACAACAGTAGCATAATCGTTGGAGCGATTTTATCCGAATCTGTGAATGCTTCCATATCAAACGCATACAGCACTGCTATTGCAACAGCAACTGTGAAGAGGTTAAAAGCCGTATCGAAAATGAAGTGAGCTATCCAGTAGGCCGTGGTAGAGCATCTGAGTGAAAATCAATGGAGTTTCACGACCGTGATATAAAAAACAGCAGTGAAAAACATATTTCACCGCGAATATCGCCTTTTTCACCGAGTATTATGCCACTTCACGTAAAACGGATCGTGGATCTCCAATAAATCGAATCACGCACGTGTTGGTGACAACATGAAAATGTGGAGAAAACTTGGAATTTTTTCGTTGGTTTCTATACACTTCTACCCGAATTTGTATATAAACTCCCATAATTAGCTTTGGAAACTCCTGAGCTCAGGTGAGGAAAGCAGGCGTATATTTCAACATCGGGCGTAGATGAGCAAGGGAATTAATATTCGCTTTCCTCAACAACTACAGAAATTCACAAACGGGGTTTAACACGTGTACAGAAACCACTCAGAAATGTCCTCGAGAAAATTCCCACATTTTTCATGTTTTTTCATATTTTTCCAGATAGGGATAAAAACGCTCGACAAGCAAACGATTGTAATATGAAAAACACCGGTGAAAAACCTATTTCACATTTCACTTCGCGAAAAACGCATGTGAGTAGTGAATAACGCGTAAAACATATCACTGAGATCACCAAGTATTTTCGATACACTTCTTCACATAAAGTAGTAATCCAATTCACGTAAATCGGATGAAGCTCCAATGAGTTACCCTGATATAGCCAACTGTGCTTTCACATCCTTCTCCTTTTCCATCACTATATAGCTGCATATTCCCGCTGGAATAAACGCAAACGCCCAAATGACCGCCTGAAAAAACAACAAAATATCGTTTTAAGACCCCTACTACAGTGTGAACCAAACCGTTATTTTCAGCGCCTTTAATTTCTGGAAAGTTTGTGTTGATGACAGTATCAAATTTCCGAGTTGAAATTCTTGTTGATTTCTGAATATTTCTACCCAAACTCCTGAGCTCAGCTGAGGAAAGTAAACATATATTCCTAATGTGACAACAACACCAACAAATACAAAGCATTTAGATCGCTCTCAACAAACGAGTTAATTTTTTCACTGCGCCACAAAATTCGCCCTTACAATAGTTGATAAAATTCCAGACACCACTACTGCTATGTTCTGCTCGAACAAAGTCTGTGGCATCGGATGGTTCACGACGGTGACCTGAGATAAGGCGAATTGTGAGCAACAGTGTGGGGGGGGGGGGGGGGGGGAACATGCACACGGTCAACTACGTGTGTTGGTCATAACATGAAAACTCTGAGAAAATTTTGGGAAATTCCTGTTGGTTTTTGTGCACTTCTACCTGAACTCGTAGAAATGATAATAACTTCCCAAAATTTCCTCATATTATCATCGATGCATGTGGTTGACCATGTGCATATTTTCCCACACTGCACAATAGTAAACTCGAGGGCGAATGTTCAAAGTCCAATGTAAGGTGAGGCACACATGGTCAACTACATGTGTCGGGTATAATATGAAAATTCTGAGGGGATTTTTGGGAAATTCTTGTTGGTTTCTTAACAATTCTATTCTAACTCGTATATAAACTACTGAAATTAATGAGGAAATTTCAGAAATTTTTTTCGTTTTTCCAACACTTCTATTCACACTCGTGTATAAAACTACTGAAATTCGTGAGGAAATTTCAGAAAATTTTAAGAAATTTTTTCGTTTTTCCAACACTTTTATTCTAACTCGTATATAAACTACTGAAATTAGTGAGGAAATTTCACAAAATTTTAAGATTTTTTTTCGTTTTTCCAACACTTTTATTCTAAGTCGTATATAAACTCCCGAGCTCAGCAGCGTAAATCAAATATATATTCCTCCAATATCAAATGCCTCTCCTGGGATTCGATCCCGCGACCTCCCTACTTTAATATCAACTCCGTGTGCCGCGAACCACGCATTCACATATGCATTCAGCGCTATCGCCGAGGACGCTGTCGCTGTGAGGTTGTGCCACAGAACAGTTCGTGCGAGCGGATCTCCCACTTCACGTTGCAAGTCTGTGGCGTTGTCCAAATGCGAAAATGCGATATACGAGGAGGCCTGAGAAAAACAGGATAATGCTCATATTGGTGTTCACATATGCAGAATGAATATTGGAGTTTCACATGAAAAAAACTAGCGAAAAAGTCTATTTCACGACTACTGCATATCACCGCGAATATCGCCTTTTCCACAAAGTATTACGCTACTTCACGTAAAACGGGTAGAACTCCAGAATAAAAACTTCATCCCAGACAGTGTCACTAAATTATCACAACGTCACTACAGACCCCCTACCACACCTCGTAATCATTCCGTGTTTCTCGCAAGTGTGACTGCATAGCCAGCAGAGAACTACTCTGATCGAGTGGAGTCACCACCGTCCTCAACGTGTCACAGTAATCATCAGCTTCAGCACAATATGGGGACCAAAACGGGCCTGCTAACAACAGTACTGGTGTTTCGCGACCGTGATACGAAAAACACCAGAAAATAAATATTTCACGACTACTATATATCACCGCGTTTCCACAGAGTATTACGCCACCACTTCACTTAGTTAAACGGGTTGTGAAACTCCAATGATCAGCTTGATCGATATAAGTGGAGTTTTACCCATGATATAGAAAACAAAAGTCAAGGAACGCATACAAGCAATGAATAACGCGTAAAACGGATGATGTGCATAAGTCACATATAACTCGCTAAGTATTTTCTATTCACTCCATATCGCGTTTTTCGCACATAGTATTCCTCCACTTCGCCTAAAACGCGTAAAACTCCAACGTAAATTACCGAAATTCGAATCGCCCCCTGCGTGAATAACGTGCCATGGACGAGGCGCGTTTGATTTCTGCAAGGGCTTGTTAAGATCGGCACTTCTTATCACCATTGGTGGGGCCACCTGATGTAAGGACAAAGTCAGAGTGAAATAATGTCACATCTTTTTCGCGTTAATTTTTGATCATTCGCCCACTTTTTTGGAAAAAAACCCATTTTTTCTGCATCTTTTCAACCTATGAATATATTCTTATCCATCAAATCCGTGTACAGCTGATATACAATTACGTGCGCTACATCTGCTGTTGTCAATGCCTAGTGATCTCTCGAGATCTCGAAGTCTTTCACTTCTTAGTAATAGAATAGCTATGTGGTTTTTGAGCTGTGGCACATAGTTTTCCCCTATATCGGTGTACTTGATACGAGACCAATACTATCTAGGTTATACTTGCGTTATCTCAATACCCTTGTGCGATGTTGCGCACAGCGCGCATCGAATAATCGCATCTTATAACGGTGACTTGCCCGAAACGGTGCAGACGAGGCTCGAGCAGAGCCGAATCAGATAGAGAAAAACTTTCCCAATTCAATCGACTTCTGATGATCTGTGTAGATGCATGGCTGCTATTGATCCATCAAAAGCGGAAGACATTGATCACACCGCACTTGCGTTATCTCAATACCCTTGGTTGGAATAGATCAACAACTGTTACACTTACTCGTTCACTAGCGCCCTGTTTGACAAGAGCCAACGCGCCGGCCAGGAGGATAAGCGGTAGTAGTAGTTGGCACATGAACATCTTCTTGTCGCGTAGACCGAATCGTACCCTGATAGAGCCAGCGATGAGTTGTACATCACAATATATAAATACAATGGAGTTTCACCCGTGACATGAAGGGCACTAGTGAAAAATATATTTGATAAACCACCGCGAATATCGGGAATTTCACATCGAGGAATACGCCACTTCACGTAAAACGGGTGAAACTCCACCATAACACGATCTCCTTACCTCCGCTGTATCAATGCCTTTGTTTGTTCCCCCATAGTCGCCGGTTCGAGTATCAACTCTCCGTCGTCGTCGGCGTCTTCCGGGATATCTATAATGGTCTCCGGGATTCTACCACCTTCGTCCTCTGCCGGTTGTAGAGGATCGTGCTTCGTTGAGTCTACCGGAACTACGGCTCTGAGAGATTGATTCCTGAGGGACTCAGAGCATGGCTTCTGGCAAGTCGAAAATCAATGAAAAAATTCCGATGCCGGGACTCGAACCCGGGTCGTCTGGGTGAAAGCCAGATATCCTAACCAGCTAGACTACATCGGACGATGAAAATAAAGCCACATACCCGACCCAGTATCTCACCGTGAATTTGCTATAACACTTTCCGATCGTTCCTCCGCACTCGGGTCCGCAACTCTCAGAAACACTTCTTCCAAATTCGTCACCGACACTCCATATGTGATCAACTGAAGTGAACTGTGAGCCTACCATCAAAGTCAGAGACCGGCTCGAATCGGCGGCGGCCCAACTCGGGCTTACCAGGCCTTTCAATGTGTCACTTCTGCCAGCTATCTCAGCGTCGAGATCGTCCATGAGCGCCGGAAAGTCCTTAGCTGCAGCAAACGGCACTTGCACTAGTAGCTCCAGACCAGCAGATGAGAGGACCTTGACCTACCGAGACGCACGTCATGGCAGTGTGGGGAAATATGCACATGCCCAACTACATGTGTTGGTGAAGACAACCGAAAATTCAGAGGGAATTTTCACAGAATTCCAGTTCACTTCTACCCGAATTCAAATCTAAACTCCAATATGATACGTGATGACACTTATAAACCCCGTTGAGAATAGCAGAGGTATTGCCAGCCGTAGAAGCTCACGCCGCAGGCGTATGTCTTGAAAACTTGTAATTACCAAAGCGCCTCCAGTTTTACACTATAACTGTGCTCTTGTATTAATAACAGGTTACTCGTGCGAATGAAAACACCACAACTTCGAAGGTTTACATTTCCTAGCAACCACTTTGAACCATATATATTCTAATAAAAATTCCCAAGTCCCCCAGCTACCCTAACCTTACCTGTCCAACTAGGCTCCTATCGCCTATACGCTCCTTAAGAAACTTCACCACCGACTCATCTCCCTCGTGAATCTCCTTTTTCTTCACAAAACTCAATACATAACCACAACCATAACACTTCTTCAGAAAACTCGACGATCCCAAACACTTCAATTCCCCACTGCCCATTATAGCAATTCTATCACCCAATACGTCAGCTTCGTCCATGTAGTGCGTAGTAAGGCAAATGATTCTGCCCGGCCTTCTCGCTTTCAAAAGCTCCCAAGTAGTTCGACGAGCATACGGGTCCATTCCCGAAGTGGGCTCATCCAGTATCACCAATTTAGGATCACCAACAAATGCGATCGCCACCGATAATTTTCTCTGCATGCCTCCGCTGAGGCTATCAGATCGGAAGTCCCTTCTCCCCCCTAAGCCGACTTCCAGCAACAGATGATCACAAGAATCTCGGAAAGCCTTCGAGCTCCTATTGAAGCCCCGGATACCACCAAAGCACTCCAAGTGCTCCATCGCTGTCAACTCTGGCCACAGCGCATTATGCTGAGGACACACCCCTGTGATGCATCTTATTGCTGCCATATCCTTGGGAATCTCCAAACCATACACGCTCACTCTGCCAGATGTCGGCGATAGAAAACCAGTGATCGCGCCCATCGTAGTCGTTTTACCCGCGCCGTTGTGGCCCAATAGTGCGAAAATTTCGCCCTCATACATGGACATTGTCACGCCGTTCACAGCAGTTATGGTTTCACCAGAAGTGCCTTTGAACTTTTTACAAAGTTTGGCGATTTCCACACACTTCCCTGCTTTCCTGAGCGCCTCCTTATACGCATCCACCTCCTCACGAGGAATCGATCGCCCATTATTTTCATCACCATCATCATCATCAGAAAGCATCTCGCGTTTATCACCACCAAAGCACTCCAGCCAATAGGACTTCTGGAACAGAAAATAATAAGGCCGACGGAAGCCAATTTGGTAAGGATTTGTTTGGTCCACGTAATAGTATAAAATCCACCACAATACCGACGCCAGAAAATTCATAGCAACCGACTGAGCGTAAGAATAGTTGCGATAATCAACAGTAGTATTATCAGAGCTCAGGCCGCCGTAGGTCTCCTCGAGAAAACCTATAACATTGAGCCCTTCGCGAAAACCGACAATCGGTATAAATGACATAAAATTTTTAGTAGACGCGGACGCATACTCTGGCACCGAGATGAACAAGCCCGCGAGGTACACGAAAAAGCCAATGACAGCTCCAACTCGCTCACGAGTAAAAATCGCGGACATCAAAAATGCGAATGACATACTCGAGAGACCAAAGGAAAAGTTGAGCATGAATATGAGGAACCAAGAAGAGTTCTTGTATGTGCCGATTTTCATCACCAGAGAGATCGCCAAGCATATAACCAACCACGTGACGATCTGTGTGATCAACCACGACACGTAATAGGATACATCCAGCAGCCCCATCATTCGCATAATTTCCCGAAGTCGCATTTCTTTCTCTCGTATAAGCCTGGAGATCTGCACACTGACCGATGCAGAGAAAGCAAAAACTACCAACCACGTGAGATCGCTTACCAAATCGATACCATCGGAAGACCAATACGGCTCCACTGGAAAAGGCACCGACAAAACTTGTTTAAAAACCGTCTTTTCCTCATTGTTAATATCAGCACCAGGAATCTCAATAGTCTCAGTAACAGCTTCGTGTCGCGAAGCAATAAAGCGTTGTACCAACAACTGTATCGCGAGAAACCCATTCCTAATATAAAAATGTCGCGCAGAATCATCACCAACGTGACGCTCAATTCCCCTAGGGTCATCCTCGAGTGTCGCACGTGTTATCCATCTACTGATTCGTCCAATAGTTGCATTTACTCTGATCTTAAACTCGGGCTTTTCATCACGAAGCACATCATTCTCAAGAACAACCGCGCCACACAGGCGGTCCCAGGCCAGAGGATCACTGCCGCGCTCCTCACCAGAAGTAGTCTCAACTGACGAGCCGTAATTTTCATCCTCGATATACTTCTTCAATGCATCCTCATCACTGAATATTCTGAATATTGTTCGAGTTTCCCACGAACCGCACTGCGCCCAATTCGTAAGGAATATCTCCCTCGCGTCGCTGTCGCCATACCCTCCCTGAACGAACCCAGGCACATACTCATCTCCAAGTTGCCAGTGATAAGTAAAGTTATGACCAGTAGCACTGATGACTTCATTTTCAAGTTTTTCATATTCGCCTTCGAAATAATTCTTCAATTCATTCGCGAGTTCATTTTGTCTGTCACCTTTAGCCACTATTGCTAGACTCTTACACCAACAAGACTGACCAGAATCAGCCATCGGTTGCCTCCTGAAAATTCCCCAGTACCGCGTGTCATCGACAAAATCAACATCAAAATCTTGTGCTCTCGGGTAGCCGTTTGAACTCACCGGATCAGCCTCAACTACTTCCTTGCGTTCAAAGTCCAAACCGAGTAAACCAGGCAGTTGGAAGATCAGCCAGGCGAGTATTATCGGTAGTAGTATTTCACAACAACTACACTTCCAACTTCGCACTTTAAGAATTGCGTTTTTTCTCAGGAGTTCGCCAACCTGGCGGTGAACCATGCGTTTAGGGGTGTTCAGTCTCGACTCAGTAGCGTCAATCTGAACTTCTGAGGCCGCCGACTGAGTCATTTTGCCTTCCATAAAAAGCTTAACCGAACCACCTTTTCCTTATTAATAACACAATCCAAAACTAATGTTATAATGTTCGAAGTAAGAGACGGTTCCCACGCAACTCGCTGTCGCCTATTTTCGGGCGAGCGCTACATTAAAACGCGTTCTCGGAATGTTCTGTTATTACGTTGTGTAGGTAATATAATTGTGTTTTGGTTTGTACCACTGTTAACCTAAGGGGCCATCGGAGTAAGAGCGTCTATTTTGTGTAGCGTGATCGATATATCCTCATGCTCTGTACGCAAGTACACAGTTTTAATTCCCTCCATCGGCTACTACTGTGCTACTAGTACAAGAACGCTAATACGAACTAAAGATGTTCTTGTTGATAACATATTAACTATAGTGAATGCTGGATGTAGTAGATAGAAGGGTCCACCCGCGATTGAAAAAAGGATCTCTGACAAAACACGTAAATCATTACAATGCGCCGTGTATGCCTATGTGTATAGCGCACGTCGTGAAACGGCTGATGGTTGGACATGGCCACTATTGATTAAATTAAGATTTCACCCTTCTCCCAACTTGAGTTCAATTATGCTTCCTGAAGACGAGACAAACGATCTATCAACAACATGTGCGTTGTTCGGAATCCTCCGAGCTCCTCAGCGACTGACATTGGCAATAAACTCAGAGCCTTTAGATGAGGTTGTTATATTTACAGCAAGAACGATAGGAAAAAGGGGACAAGTTTTGTGGTACCTACAAAGAATGGCTAAAAGGACAACGAGATCACAAAGTCAATAAAACAACAACACATATACAACTGGCGCGATCTGACATCTCTAACACTGTGAAGCAGAACTATATTGCTAAAGTAGATGAGCAAGGTCCCGATGTACAAACACCGGCCCAGCTGTAATATACACAACCACTATTTCACTAATTTCCCGCCGGAAAATACGAGTAAAATTTTCCTCCAAATTGACCTACTAGAACTCGAGCGCACAACTCATCCTGTAAATGATACGCAGTGTTGTTTCTAATGATATTTAGTGACAGAAGGAAAATCGAGGTATGCAAGTGTGTATTGCCATCAACACGGGGAATATTAAATCGAATATACACCTTTTCACCAGCCGAGGAACATAGCCCATGCATACCCCACAGTGCTTATGATGACTAAAATCAACAACGCCACAGCAAAACCTGACAGCAAGCTGTTTAACAACCGGAAGGTCCCCGGATCGATCCCGGCATACCTGACTTTACAAAGTCTCTTGACTGTAGTATTGGGGTAGTTGGCGCTCCAGGCAGCGACAGATTGACCACTCCTGCGGCGTTTGCATTAGGGAACGAGCTGAAAGACGAAAATATGAAAACCTGAAAATGGTCAACTACATGTGTTGTAAAAAATTCCAAGGAAATTTCTATGGGTTTCTGCACACTTCTACCCGAATTCATACATAAACCTCCACAACAAACTTTGTGTGTGAAATCCTGAGCTCAGCTGATGAAACTAACAGTGGCATCCACACTCACAAAACATCGAATTGAACTAATCACATAGACACCTCACCTCACAGGCAGACCCATCGCTGCTGACGTCATAAACGCACACCCAACCGTAAACAAGCGTGGATGTCCAACAACAGCGCCAACCTAAGGTAATGCAAATCTCGCTCGCCCCAAAAATAATAATCACCACCACTTACCTTAGCAACAACAGGCAAGGCCACAATGGCACACACTGTCGAGGAGAGGAAGTTGGCGACCAAACCCGTGCAGAGGAAGAAGCAAACCGCGCTCGCCCAGACACTTGATCCTTCCAAAGACTTTGATATTTCATCAGCTATAATACGCAAAAGGCCCGAACTCTCCACTGCGTTGCCGAGAGCTACACCTCCACCAAGTAGCGTCAGGACGGACCACTGAAATGGGAACTATTTAACACCAAACTTAATACAGGTTATATTTCTAATTTCAATACACGGTATTGAACTAGCATTATAAACAGTAAAAATCCACGCAACGACTATGCCGCACCCCGGAGGCTCGTCAGTGAACTATATAATGATCTCTTGAATAGTCGTCAGAATCAAATACCAAAAACCGAGTACATTTCCTATATTTCCGACATGCGATATTGAACTAGCATTATATATAGCAAAAATCCAGGCGATGACTATGCCGGACCGCGAGGGCTCGTCAGTGAACTATATAATGATCTCGTGAATAGTCGTCAAAATCAAATGAATCAACTGAGTACATTCCAATATGTGATATTGAGCTCGCATTGTACACAGAAAAAATCCAGGCAATGCTGAACCTCAGAGTCAGGCTACATATCGTTAATCAGCCAGATGATAGTGTTTCAAATGCTTCTACTACTAGGTATACGTATCATAATCGGATTATATTAATATCTTATATGTACTAACACACTCACATACAACTCAATGCACACCATATAACACTTCGTTGTGCTCGAGAGGCAACGATTCCTCCACGAAATGTATGAATTTTGAGACACTTTCCTTACGTGTTAAATCCAATGCCTACTGACTAACATAACATAATTATATGAATATCTTCATTAGTAACATATAATAGAAATCTATGCTCCTCATCTCAGACATACTAGCACTATAAGGAGACATATACTGGCAAAGAATCGATTGCATCCCAAGCTCACCTGCATGCCATGCCAATCTTCCGTCGTTAAAATGCCCAGACTATGTAGAGCTACGACAGCCATCAGCCCGACCATTCCCATACTTCCAAATACACCGTCAAGTCCCACTATATCGAATATCATCCACAAAAACACGGTTATTGCTACTATACCTGATAGCGAACACCTAAAGAGCGGGGCGAGTTAACCCAATATCAGCTTACCAAGGATAATCCAATCGGTGGAATTTAATGGCGCGTGACGCAACTCCACATCTGAACAGCTTCCAGACTCTCCATACACACCTGGATACGGTCATCAAGACCTTCAAATTCATGAGCATTCACAATGATTATATATTACTGTTATAAAGTGATAACGTATGATAACATGATAAAAGCTATCGATATGGATATATAATATGAAGGGATACTGATATACTAGGTCTTCATAACGGAGGGGCGGCGCTCGCTCGGTCCCCGTTTGCTGATATGATCAATGAACTTGACGTATGTCCCCGGTTCGATTCTCGAGTTAGACATTCCCCATCAAAAAAGTTTTCGTGCATATCTCGCCGAGCTGTTCGAGAAATTGAGTTTTCCGATTTTTTGCACAAACCTCGGCATATAGAGGAGTCATTTGATCTATCTGGTGGCCTCCTACGCCTCGTAGTTAACCCAGAATAGTTCTGCACGCACGCACAACGCGAAAGTGCCTGTTGTCGCGGTATATGCTTTGTCGCTCCATATTACATGGAATACCCTATACTTCAATATAACTATACCAGCAATTAACGATATTTAATATTCCTACATCGCAAATTACGGTTCCAGAAATTACTCAAAAAAATTTACATTTTACGAATATAATCAATTCCGACACTGACAATCAGTTTGCTGAACACTCAAGTGCTACTGGGAAGATCATTACCCTCACTAGAATTTCGTCGCCTCTCAGTCATCTCCACCATTTTCGCATCGCTCCGCCTTCCGTTATACATAAATTTCAACACCACGAAAACTGACGCAGCTGCGATTGCGCAAACAGGGAGAGCGAAAATGATCCATTGCATAAACGACAGATCAGAGCCGCCATTCGAACCTGAAAATTGCGGTTATCCGCCCGATAAATTACCAGCGAATATTACGCAGAGCCACGAGAGCAATAACGTTCTGAGGGGAGGCGATCGGCGTGATCATGCCACCGACGTTGCCTAAGTAAGAAGTGGTGGATTTCGGCTATGAATATAAATAGCAAACAAGAAACTATAATATACGCATTTCGTTATTCACAGAGTGCATTCCGAGAACTGACGAGAGTGAGTAGACTATAACGATATGATGCAACTTGTAGGAGCTCTAGGATCATTCCTAATCTACTAAAAACACAGAAGTTCACATACGAGATATGGATTTTTCCCAAGTTGACGCGAATATCGCCAAAAAGTCGACTAAGATTTGGACGAGTTCGAATGTTACCTAACATTTCTAACCCGAGCGAAGCCCAAGTCAAGACCCTCGAAAACTCCATGAAAAAACTCTAAAACTCCCTCTGAAACTTTACTAGATCCTCTGGTAAATAATCCGAAAAATGCCCCCACCGAGAATCGAACTTGCGAGTACCCATTAGTACAACCAAATGCCACTCCCAATATAGCTCTCTTCGATTCAGAATCCGTCAACTCTCTTGCTACGGGCGCTACCACCGCTGTTAATAAAACTGCTGCTGCCACATTCGATAGTGCTCCCGAGACTAACAGTCCCAATAGCAATATAACCTACCAAACAGAATTCAATCCAAAAAAAGGCGGAGCGAAGCAAGGCAGATTTCAACACTATTACAATGGCAAGACGATCACCACCAGTCGACACTCTCGAAAGCAATCTGGTCGCGAGCCTTTCCGTTATATGAAACCTAAATAAAAATGTTACATCAAAACCATGATATCGTCATTACTTCTCCAATGCCTGACCCATAGCGAAGCCGGAAATGAATAGAAATATAACCGGGTCGAAGAAAGCTGCAGACACCAGTATTGCAGCGGCGGACGGGGGTAAAGCTTCGGCTAAAATTATGAGGAGCCAATACTGGGGGCGACGAAAATTAACATTCTATCGTCCAACAGCTGTGCGCTGCAGCGTCCTATCGGCTATGGTTAACAGAAAGCAGTGGTGACACTCTGATAAGTGTTATAAGTTAATGGAGTTTCATCCGTGATGTGAAAAACACTAGTGAAAAACACATTTCACATTTCACTTCGCGTAAAACGGGTGAAACTGCAATATTGAGAGGATCTACCGGAAGAGTCAACGGGTGATCAACGCTATAGATAACGATCATTTAATATAGTTAAGTCTGATGTAAGTCAGCAGCTACTCATGAATTCAGGCGCTCTGTCCAATCCACTCGAATACAGGGGGGAATATATGCTCGATCTCCTCAGCTGAGCTGAATTCTAGGATATTTTATATTCATATTTTCGTATTTCATATCGGCACCAACACGCCTAGTTGGCCATATGCGTATTTTCACACTCTGAACAAATACCAAGCAAGTTGAATCTATCCCTAATAAAGAGCCCCAAAGTAGACACGACTCTACCAAATTCCTTTTTTTAATAATCATCTCGCCTCACATTCTCCGATTTCACTCCCAACAATCCTGGCAGGAACCAACGCCATTGACGATGGATCTGGAACCCGCATGACGCGAGAAATAACCTGAGAAAGGTCCATGAGAGCACACACAGCGATGGACTGCCAAGCAGCGACACGTCACACGGTGGAACTCGATATTCGCATACCAACCAGGAGCGACCAGACCTCCCAATACTACAATAAGCAGCCCCAAATGAAGGGAAGTGACATACGGCGGCCAGGGCTCGAGAACCCACCAGATGGCCGCAGCGACCAAGATCCCCAGACATCGCTGGGCGGCAGCGTCAGCAGAGGGGAAACCAAGGGGAAGTAGCTGAAATAAACATCAATATGAATCAATCAATTCCCAGTGTATACAAAAGAGAGCTGTCCATAAGTTGATCTCGAAAGGCGTATAATTTCTATTACCGCAGCGATGCTTCCCGCAACTAGCCCAATCCCAGCCGAGATGAACTGTCGGTTAGATGGCCAGGAAAATCTTGACGAGTAAGGGCTGAAAAAATTCAAATATATCTGAACGATCAATCCTTCAAACAAGGCGAGGTCGACTACAACATAGAATATTGAATTAATTTGGGGGAATAAAATTGGTCCGAATTGTGGTATCTTAGGTGACGGAAAGAAAGATACGAAACAGGTCCGGTCGTGACCATTTTCGGCTTGGAATTTTCGGGGCAGATATGCCAGAGGCTGCGGATCTCACCATGGCAGTCCAGAAGATTCTGATGACATTCATAATCTCTATCATGATACATATAAGTCACTTATAATCATCAACAATGCGAATATTGGTCGCACATACTCATTAATGATGTGCATACCTATAGTATATAAGAGTATATGCAGGTGCTATCACAAAAAGGTCCTAGAAAATGTGTTCATACAGTATGTCGGCATATCAATCTAACAATGGATTTATGGAAAAGTTAGTGGCATAAAAAACATGCCTTTAGAACAGCCTGGATAAACACTGTCTTTAAAAACGACATTGGTGAAAAAGTCTCATGCCGTGTCTGATATACAACGACACCTTTCAATGAACCTCATTATACCACGTAGTACCTCCTCGCTTTAGAAACCTCCCGATCTTCTTCCTCTTCCATTATCGTATCCCCCATGATTCTATTAATCTTCCGCGTGCGTGTCACGTCTCGCTTACCATCATCTTCACTTGACGACGAGGAGGACGACGAGGACGACTCACCAATGTGTATAGAGCCGGAGACAGGTCGATAGCCTTTAGACCTGACGGCCATTATTAAAGTGATTAACTCTAACTGACAGGTAACTAACAAGAACTTTTTGATCCCCCCCCCGATTAAAACTGCTTCATACATCTTGTTATCTCGACCGCTGGAGGGGGCATCACACACCGCATTTCCAGTTGGTTCAAAAAATACACTTACCCTAGTTTCTCAAACTTATACCGTTCTGATGTGAGAATGGAGTTAGTGGAAGAGGCCTCATATTATTTGGGGGCTCAAGAAGACCATGAAGGCTGCACCACCGGGCCCACGTGGAAAGTCACCATCAAGTTGGACTGTCTCCCAATCCATCTCGGATTTGGTCCCCCAACGTTGAATTTGATGAGAATGCGGTTCCCCTGCCAATTCATTGTCTCCCAAGAACGGTACACGATAGACTCTCCCGGGTTAAAAAGTACATATAACACAAATACTATCTGGTATAGGATCATATAATATATGTGCCATATATTAACTAGCAGCTCGCGTCGCTTCGCTACGGGGAATCTAGCTCCTACGGAGGGGGAGGTTGTAGTGCATTTCCTGCACGGTTCTTGCACTTGGTTTGTTATGAAAGTAAAGCGTGGACTCCACAATGTAAAGTAATAATTGCAGGTCTCGTTAAGTGCAAGAAAACGTGATGAAATTACGCACGATGTAGGTTTAGGAATGCATTGAGTATGCGGAGATAGGAATTTGTGGAAGAAAGCTTAAAATGTGAGATTTTGACGCACGATTATAGCCGAGTAGCAAAAATGTATTATTAATGATTTCCTTTATCCAGTAGAGGAGTCGTTTCTACTATAAGATATCAATTATGACAAGTGTGAACACAGTGCAGTCCCCTCAGTGGACTAATTCATCACGTTGTTATAGCATCTAGGGTCCCTATCACAACCCCAGACCCACAACTGCACTCTTCCACTTCTTCCCTTTCTCATAAGTCAAGTTTCCCCATAAAACTGAGGAGTCTTCCACACCCTGAAAAAAATGTGGAGAAATGTCTCCTGTGGGATTCGAACCCCGACGGGTTGTAGGCCTCATCAAAGTGTCGCAGGTTATTATTACAAGGCTTCATCTGAACGCAACGAGCAGCCGCGAGAAAATAAACTTACAATCAACATCGGATGTAACTCGGTGTTCTATACGTAGGGCGCCCACCGCCGACTTGGTCTCAGGACAGATGGTCCGGGTGCCACACGCAAGCTTTAAGATGATGCTGGCCAATCAGAATAGTGTTTATGCATCGCTCGATTACGCTTCTCACTCAGTCTATAGATGTGCTGCCGACCCCCAAGATGTGATTGTGATGCGGCGTAGTTGGTCAACCTGACTCTACATTCTTTGCAATGCATCGCACCAGAATAGTCTCGAACATCCAAGCACTGATCAAGGTCGGTAGGACCTACGAAAAAGTTGAAGACTACCACTTAGAGAAGTGATTTCTCACGCCTAGGCATTGGCGGCCTCCAGCGCCGATGATCGATATCATGCGTATGTGCCCAAGCCTCATAGGCTGAGCCTGCTATATGTGCATCACAGACATGGCACTGCCAACCAGTCGGAAATTGGACTATGTCGTTGATAGCGATGAGGAACCTCTCATGATCTGTGATGATGATGCTGCTGCCGCTGTTGTCTTCGTGCGCTAGCTGCGATCGACGAGGCGAAGTCGGGACGGTATCAGGAATGTGGAAGTTCGAGTTACCACCCCAATCTCCCATGGCCGTCAAATACTGATCCATCCATACTCAATGCGCATTAAACTCGGCACCGAATATCAGAAAGAGTCGCAAAGAAAGAGCCTAGGCGTGATCGGAACATAAGACTTCTCAAACACCACAAGAGTAAGAAGAAACGAATGAATTGGGAATACCCAGGAGGACATTTTACAGTATAATATTCATATCGAGCCATGAGCATGAGAAACCTACTACAGCGTTCGCCTTCTGAGAACGTCTCTGTACTGAGACTCCTCTCGCGTGTGTGTGACTGCTTGGGTCGACTGCATTAAACGCAACAGATCTGTCCAGGAAGCCCACACGTATCCGATGAAATGAAGAAGACGAGTGCCCCTAGTATCCCTCTTGGTCACCAGAAGAATACGCAAGCCCCGAGCTCAGCATCACAGGAGGTGTGAGGCTCATACCTCCTGTGATGCTGATCTCGGAGTTTGCTAGTAGCTCAGGCTCATACTATGAGCGCGAGTTACGGTAACATATGAATTGTCCACGACGTTCTCACACCACGTGATATGAAACCATACCATTGAGATGATGTAGGATTATTTATCCGTAACCAACGTACGGGATGTTTAGTCTCGTGCTCCGTAAATTGCGTAAATCCTACCCATTCCTCTCACCCTAAGAAATACCAAAATACCAGATAAAAGTTATCCATCTTCCCATCGATGGCAGTAGTAAAGATTACTAGCAGAGAAATATTAAAGCCATATCATAATTGGCATAGACAGAAGGGTAAGGTATGTTTCAAGTTTCCCAGTACTTCTGAAGAGTCGTATATCCGCGATTATTACGGAGGAGTTCTGAACATTTAGTAGAGCTCATGAGTTGAAGAAGTCGTGCTGCATCGTCGAGCGCACGCCCAAGCGGAGGACGATATGCAGATCAAAGAAACAATTCTTCTGGAGACCTCGAGTCCACCCGTGCTAGGGCTAGGCACGTAGCCCTATGCGAGTTCTCGTCACGTTACACGAGAAATGCACGCATGTGCATCGCGAGGCGAGATCACACACGTTTTACACCGAGAAACAGTGTTTATCGGAATATTAACTACGTTACAATACCTGACCCCAGTCTACCAGCTCCTGAACATCTGGTGTACTTATGATGATTGGGCTAAAGACAATAAATGCCGCCATGTCGCCTGTGCGATATTTCCCTCTGAAGCACAACACAATGGGATTAAATATTTGCTCATTTCGAGTAGCCACCAAAAGAAAGAATATATGAAACTCAGGAGCTCCCAGACTCTGTGAGATATGGCTTGACTAAACAAAAGTGGAAGGACGAGAAGAGCTCCACGGAGCGAGCGGAGTACCAAATGGAATTGTCCGTGATCAACAATGGTATTTTAATGACATCAAAACTACTTTGTTTCAGATAGAGAATAATATATCAATAACTTTCACTGAAATCTTTTCAGGATCTCATATGCGACTAATGAATAAATCTTCCAAAGAGCTTTCACATGAATAATTGCAAATCATAGTCGGTCCGTTCGCCTCTTAGCATGATGAGAATAGATGAGCATAGGAGACAGTTGGATTAGTCACTGTCACTCATTCGAAATACTCAACACAAACCAACTTGAGTTCTAAGGCAGTCAGGTGACCTTCCCAGCATTATCATCACCTCTACTAAGCAACCAGAAATATCTTTTACCGCGCCGTCAAGAATTCCGTGTGGAAGGCGAAAAGATAACTGAGGCTAAAACCAATTTCTCTCCTCCACCCAGTTACCCTAGCAACATGCAGCTTGGCGTTATCAGTGTGAATTATGATTATTCTTCGTGGATGAGAATCTCGAGCATTGCATTTATGAAGGGCAAATGCCATTATCGCTCAACTCGAGCAATAATGGCATTGAGCGGCTAAAGTCTCCAAACCTGTCTCAACCCACTTCCAAAGTGACACTAGGAATAAGCTTGTGCAACAGCGTCTCTCCCAATCAAAGCTGTCAAGATGGAGGTCGACAACTTCTGCACGATGTCTCACTACCGTAAGCTCGCCTATGCGTTTCAGCGTTAGAACCTTAGCATCTGGATTCTTGATACCATTGTGATGCTGCTGGACTCTGGGACCGATGAAATATTATATTTCATCCACACGCGGAGTTTTCGTGGTGAGTCTAGTAACCTTCGCGTTAGCTTGCGTGGAGGTGCGCTGTCGGCGATGGGCTACCACCCGTCAGTGTGGGAAAATACGCACATGGCCAACCACATGCGTCGATGATAATATGAAAATCTCGACGAAATTTTGAGAACTTGTTCTCATTTCTACGAGCTCAGGCACGAGTGTACAGAAACCAACAGAAATTCCCCAAAAATTTTCTCGGAGTTTTTATGTTATGACCAACACACGTAGTTGACCATGCGCATGTTCCCCCCCACACTGCCGCCCGTAGACCCGAGTAATACGCTTCGCGTTGCTAACAAATTTCAATGATGTAGTGGAGAAACTAATGAACTTAGCTAAGAGAACCAAACATATACAAAGTCGAGGACAACACAGAACGTTTAACACTCTCCAAGATATCATGCCATACATGTGAGCACTACAGATGAAAACTTCTGCGTTCAAAGCCGTACTTAGGCTGGTCGATCGGCCTCAACCAACCGTATGCTTGATTCGTTCGTATTGGTCTGCTAGATACCAAGCCACGCTGTCGGCGAATATACTCGGCGTTCGTCGTATCCTTGGCGCACCTATAGTGAACCTAAGCTACTGTCGAAATTCATGGTCACCCACTTAGGATCAAAACCTTCGTCGCAAAGTATCTTGTCGAGAGTGAATTTCCTACTGGGTTTTTGTGTATCAGAAGCTCCATTAACCTAAAGTGAAGCTCTGAGGAGCACCGTCCGAGTACATGTCATCACTCCGACCTTATAAAACCCGAAAAAATTGTTTTTCCTATACAAATCGTCTCCTATCTCTGCAAGGGCTTTGTCCTCGCTTGGTTTAGCAATCTTCGTTTCCTAAGTTCCGTTAAAAACTCACGTCAACTTAATATGTATTCCCCATTCACCTTCGTGATCAATTCTTTCCATGCCTCCACTTCATGCGTTGTCACTAGCGAGGCTTTGACAGTGATTGAAGCCTTGCTCGCGGGCGCCATAGTAATCGAATGCAGTCCAACTGACGACAACGACGATCACGGTTAGAGATGAACGAAAAACCCCGCGCGGTCATCACAAAGCCCGACGAGGCCTCCGACGCCTCCTACAACATGGGAGCAACAACCATGACGAAATCGAACCCGTCTCCTTATTCGCATCAACTGTTGCTTCCTCAGAATTCAACTCTTCCACTTCATGTTCTATTGTCTTGTCCGGATAAATCTCCCGCGACTGGAGCATCCTAGAACAGAGCTTTCGCTCTTCTCGTTGTTTCCTGCGCAGGGCTTTCAAGTAGCGATTCACATTCGGCAATTCGCCCGGCACTCGTTCGAGATCGCCTCGAGCTTTCTCGTATTTTCCGAGGTGGTAGTAGGCGATACCACGCCTGACGAAATATGGACTATACCGGGCTAGTGAGAGGCTTATTACCTCCTCAAAATTTGATGAGTTTTATCTCGATCGAAGTCGTATTCAGCGTCCTCGATAGTTTCTATGGAGGTAGAGCATAATTCCACGCATTTTTCATAGTGACCAAGCTCGATCATGCAAGCCGCAAGATTAGCCAATACCGGTAACAATATCTGACAATCAACGACCTTGTGCTTTCTAGTAACCATCTTATTCTAAGTATCAGGTATGGATATCACTACATTATAACTCTGAGAGAGTCCAACGAAACAACAGTCGATGATTGACAACGCTTATGACACGTATTTGTTTCCCCAGGATTGACCATAAAATCGCGTTGCCTCTTCACGTGGATGCTCACTGAGGTATCGATTCTAACTGCTCACACTGGTACGAGCAGTATCTTCGGAAACCGGTATTTCCGATAAAACCTTGCCAATATCATTGCGATGCTCAACAACAAACACTTGCACTTTAGTTCACTCTAGAAATTTGACGATAGATCATACGCCAAAGCACGGAGGCTCCTCTAGTTTCGACGACTGGATCGGAGTACTTTTCCTTTCATCTCGAGTGAATCGTCTATAGCAGAGAGACAATCAACGTATAGCTGCTGAGCTTCCTCTAGTCGACCATTCCGATACAAATCATTCGCCCGACTCTTCGTCTCCAACGCCCACTTCATGCGGGTATTTCTATCAACACCTAAAGGCTCGAATGATACCCCTTCCCTTTAAACCAAGACCGACCTTGGTGAGCTCGCATCAAGGACTGGCGTCGATACGCGGAAGTGAGTTCTTGATAAGCGCGACCAGCGTCGACTTCCCCGAGCATTTTATTGTCCTTTGAGACTCTATGGAAGCTCGGCTGGTGCCCCTCTGCAAGGGAGAGCGACATAACTCTCGTGCTACTGTTGTGATTCTAAACTCACCCAGTTCGCCACTGAAAATAGCATCAAAATCGATTCCATCGCTCGTGGTGTCATCTTTATGCATCGTTGGTGGTTGTGAAATCTCGTCGAGCTGAGAAAGCATCTCCCCTAATTCGAGTGAAAAACGAAAGGCGACTAAGCATGTCAGAAACTGACTCGTGCACACTACTGTACTAATTTACCCACCCCACTTGGGTTTTGTGTTACCACATTCAAAACGAATGTTGAATGTTGTTCGCAATGCGTATCCGACGAAAAACCTTCAATGTGCGTGAAGGAGTACCTTTGGGCTCCTTCTTAGAGACTATTTCGGCCAAACATGCGGATTCGCATGGCCTTCACGAGTAGCACAAACTAATGAACGCCTTTGAAAGATTTCCACCCCGCTCACACGAACTTGTGAGTGCATATTAATGCGGAATTCGATTCAAGTTGACTGGATTATCGTTCGTGCAAAGGATCGCCGTGAGCTCCCTTCAGGATATCGGCAGATTGAAGAGAGTAATGCGAATTCGCGAATTCGCCACGCCGCGAATTGTCTGTCGCGCGCCACGAAATTTTGTTTCCAGCGCCCTGGCACAAAATTTGCGCGACATGCCCGTACCGTTATTCCAGGCACCTTTCCGGTACAAATTGATGCCGAGTGATTTAATCACCCGGCATGTTGCATAGTATGGGACATGCCGGTTTACGGGTCCCGTATGGAACCTATCTGGGAAGTAAAAGCAGGGTATGCGTGGAGGATTCGCGCTCATGCGTGATGTTCAGAACATCAATTTCTCATCTAAAAGAACATCATGTTCTTTTAGATGAGAAATTGAATGAGAGGGTCCGTTAAACGGACTCTGATATGACGATGTGAGTAAAAATAGCCTCACATTTAATGTCGGTTATAGTGTTGGTTCATCGCTTCATCAATACTCATTTGAGTTATTGTTGGTCTAAACCACTTAAAGTTCAACAACTTGTTGAACAACAGGAGGTTACTTCCCATGGCTCTCTCTATCTTAAAGATAAAGCTGACACAAGGGCGAGACTCATTGGTCCAACCAGTTGATGAGATCCAGTTTAGGGTTTATTCTGCTGGTGATGAAGGTTCTCTATGTCCCGCCCCGAAATTCATGTCCTTATCGGCGATTTTGATTTCTTTATCATTGGAACAGCGTTATCAAACTGACTGCCTTGTTCGCTGATATGATGCGCTTATGGTAATCCAAGCGCCAGATCATGGCAGGCATGGTAGGCTAAGCCCCACTCGATTTCAATATACTTGAACCCAACATGAGAGTGGAATTTAGAAATGACGACCGCTCAGTATTCCCATTCCATGTACTTCACGTTTTGACTTTGAATGCCTCTAATGATCCCTGATCGAGCCTTAGACTCCTCTTCAACACTCCCAACTACAAGGAAGCAGAGTGCTCCATAGCTTCTATCGCGATACGTTCTCACGTTTGGCAGACTTGGAGAATATCTTGGGGTGCCATTCCAGTGCAACGACAGTGACTCTTCCCTCCATCACGCCTGATTCAATGAGATGCTCCATCAGCTCGTATCTTGAGGAGGAACTGTCAGCTCGGAATAGAGAGTGTTTCTTGGCCTCACTCAGATCCTTCAATGTCGACCTTCAATAGAACCTCTTCCATCTGCCCCATAGGGACCACCCGCCTCAACCAGCCGGAAAAATCAACCACACAGCCGTCCTCACGCCAAGCACCCTTCTTCCCTGAAAGAGCCACGGCAATAGTTGAACTGAAGAGGATCTTCATCGTACCTTTAGCAGCTTGCTCCTCCTTACGATTGTACAGACTAGTGCCGACCGAGTCGTAGTGGACCTCAATGCCATGCTTGGTTTTTGGCTTCGAAATTGCTGCATCCTTGAAGTATCTTTTGAATAACATTACTCAACTGGCTCCGTTCGACTGCAATCGACAAGCTCTACTGATCCCGACCGAGGAGCTCTCAAATACAGTAGGTCAGCTAGTGAATTCTTCACGGTTGAGCAGACTTTCTCGATGCAAACGGCTCATGGAATGTTAGATAATATCCATCCGTCGAGTAAATCATGGCTTATCGTGATCGGCTCGGAAGTCATCGCTAGCCCGTCCATGTTCCGTGACATCAACGCATCGGAGCATACAACGAATCGATTACCCAATCTGGCCTGTTTTGGTCCAAGCGCCTGCCATTATCGGTATACAAATGGCGATCTTCTGATTCTCTTGGCAACGGGACTTCAACTTGGTCTCCCATTGGGGGTTCAGCTCGAAAAAGTACACCTCCCACTCCAAAGGGTCGAATTCCTAATGATCAGATGAAGTCCAGCGGACCGGAGCAGCTATCACTTATTTCTAGCAGTGCGAATAAATCATGTATGACATTTTCAGCTATCATGCAATCGAACGTAGTTACTATGGATTACCCTCCGAAACCACAGAAGCCTCTGTACCTTTCCTTCTCGCTCCTTCCACTTGACCAAGAAGTCTAACGATTGACCATCATTAGCGCCAAGATCGATGAAAATACGTCGCTTCCTCGTTGCGATGTCAGACTCAGCTGACGGACCTTGTTGTGCTTTCTCTGCACATGACTTCTCATCCCCTCCAATGGCGTTGTTTGTCAACGAGATGACCCCGACCGGCTTGGAGAGGTTGTACCAAATGTAGAAGATCGACAGAGCGAGAAGAGCCACCGGCAACAGCGGAGGTAATCTCCATTTACTTGGCGATAATGACATCAGAACACTGCGCTGCCGCTATGAATCCTGAATTACCGATAATCCTCTCATTACGATAGTTCTTTGTATAACAAATTTTTTCCAGAACTAATTGTTCAGTAAGCAACTCCCATTCATCATCGACTGACAGAAGTACTAACGATGTTTTGAAGACCGATTTCCAACCTGCACTACTCAGCAATATCCTCCTAACGAATGCGATATACCTGTGCGGCGGCACAAGCATATCGCATTTGGAGTTGTGCATACATTAAAACGGCGCGATCGGCTACTCTGGTTGATACAGTGGTAGTGTGCGACAGGTGATATCTGGATATCCGTGATAGCACTCAGTGGTCTAATGATGAACCGTTCACCAACCACTCGGACCAAGTTCATTATAATACTGTGAGGAAATGTTGTACACAAGTGTCCCCTGTAATTTTAGATTCCTGTGATACTTGTCTCCCTTGCTAGCCTAGCGTATACTCTATGACTAATGTAATGACCGTAAGTTAAGAACCACTTGTTAATAACTCTTGTTGAGTTATCCAATCTTAACACATACTGATGATAATGTTTTGTCGCATAAAATTGACGAACTCAAGTTTCAAATCAGATGATACTATCGAAAAAACAATCACAAAAAGTCAAGAAACGTCATGCGTCTGTTTTAGGCGGTTTTTCCACTGACTTGATCATCTCGTCAAGCTTCCCCGACTGATACAGTTGCACCAATTGAGACATTCCGCCGATACTATTCCCTTCGAAGAAAATACGAGGAACTGAAGAATAAGGCATACGAAACCTAGCATGTTGTCTCACGGGTGAATCAGAGAGCGCGAGAGTCAGAAATTTAAAACTCCATGAAGATTGTTGATCTCCACGTAATGATCAGTCCTCAACATTACAGTGCTTCCAACTAGTTTCGAAGGTAGCTACTTTCTAGACTATGTTCGAAAGTTAATACCGAGGAGGTTGATCCTGATTCATCAGAACGCCATGCATCCTTATGATAAAGACTGTGCTTGTTGCATGCTTACATATGTAATGAAGTAGAACACGCAATACTATCGATGCAGTGGAGAGAAAACAAGAGTAAATTATCGAGAATCAACGAAGACTATAATATATACCGAATCGCAGTCCGAGAAGAACACACATATTCCAACCGTTGTCCCACCTGTTCTTGCCCCCGTGATAGCGTTGAGCTCCTGCTGATACAGTTGAGTGTCCTATGACCAATACGACTAACACATAAGGACAGGAAAACCAGCTTACCGTTTGGCCGCCGGGTACTCTATCTATTTCAACCACAGCCACTTCCTGATTCAAATCCCTCAACAGTTCTTTCGCCTGTCTACAGAACCTGTATAATCACCTTCGCTCCGCCGTACAGTGAGAGAATATGCTTACGGACAAGTAGTCTTCGAAAAGACTGCCCATCTGTTGTTCTCTATAGTATTTTCTATGTGAGTTTTCACGTAATTTCCACTTTTGCCATGTCGTGGAACTGCATGATAAGCGGTGAAAGCTCTACAGGAGGTGCGTAATAAAGCCGGTCGGACCGCGGAAGTGAGCAAGGCTGACATGATAAAACTGATGGACGTTGATCATTCAAGAAATTTCCACATGAATTTCAGAGAATGAAGCGCGCGCCCAGACTCAGCGCAGTTTGATAGTCAGAAACGCCAACAACAAGATGGGGTCAGCACGAGTGACGTGGCTTACTCAACTGAGGGCGGCTAAGACTATACGATACCCACCACTGATCGACAAAGATAAAAGAGGCGGAGCGATGCAGATTATAATTATCGCCCTAAGAAGGAAAATACTAGAGTGATGACAGTAGAATGACTCTACGACAGTAGAGTCACGCGCCACGAAATTGATGGTCGACATCAGCATCATCGTTCATGACTGCTCATAATCTGATAAGAAAAGATAGAGTTCTGTGCTTCGCTCCGCTCACTCTATGTCGTCAACTCTCGACAAACGACGTGCCCTTCAGAGAAAGGCCGTTGAGAGCGTCCGACTTCCCAGCGCAAGATATTCGCGCACCGAATGTGGCCCTGACAATACGGCAATGAAAAAGGGAAATAAGCAATAGCAGTTGACCTCTTGAACGGCAACTTCTAATGGTGTGAAACCTTCATGGTTTATACAGGTGAGAGCTTCTGGAGGAAAAGCGCTGACAAGGTGTGGGGAGCTCAGCTGAGGCAGACGTGTCTTCGTAACGAGCGATCCCTATTACGAAAAATATGCAGAATATTTTCTGGAAAAAACTAGGGTTCTGTGGCGCAAGCTCGAATACACTGTGTTACGCGTTGATAGCGACCAAGTGACGAGTTCCACATGCACAAACCTCTCACCAAGATTTCTAGTTGATGATATCGGTCATAGAAGGCAGCGTAGTGGAGCGGAGTCTGCCTGAAGAACGACTGCTCTGTCCTACTACAGTGGGCATAACCAAACCGTGTGCAAACGACCCCACTTTTTGAAAGTTCGACTTTGAGACAACAGGACGTGTTGCTCACCCCGAGGAATCTTTAATCAGAAATACGTCTGGAGTAGCAGCCAGGCCACGGAGAAGGCGGCAGCTTGAAATCGAATGTATGATGGCTAGGGTCAAGGGTACCTTATGAAAAATACTCCGTTGCTTCGCTCCGCCTCCATCAATAGAATCTAGTGGGAATTACGGGTGCCGCATGAAATAGTGAGAGCAGTTTTGAATCATGAACAACATGAGACGCTTCGCTCCGCTCGACGGGATGTGTAGCGATCGCTTCGCTCCGCTAGGCAGTTTCATGTCGACTTGTTGAAACGGCTGAAACGGCTAGGCGTCGAATTCGTTCTCTTTTGCAGTTCTATGATCATATTGCTTTGTTACACTCGCTACTTTCGTCCTTGTCGATCCCATTAGTCGTCCCTTAGACATAGGTTGGCTTAGTAAGCACAAGCCCTTGGGACACTAGTGATCGTAAGACGACTGTAGCCATCTTGGCTCAAGATCGTAGTTGGGTTCTTCTCCCTCTTCCCTCATTGATTCTTCAACCCTTCTACCCCAAGGATAACTTAGCGATCTGTCTGCAGAAATGCCCGGTTCTTGTGTTAACAACCAGGTTGGTAATCAGCCAGCTCCGCTACATTCTACCGGGATCTCTAATCCCAATCTCCCAGACGACGAGGCCCCCTTCGACGCCTCTCCAAGATCTACTACTTCTACTAACGACGCCAACCGTCACTCAACTCGGCTGGCCAACCTCCCTGCAGCCCCTGGGCTCGACTTCCCTACAAGCAGAGCTACCAAGGGCAAAGATTCTAATTCAAGCTCCTGCTCGAAGATTCCAAGACCCCCGACCCCTAGGGAACTTGCACTCCCCAAGGGAACTGATGTACAACTTCGAGCTGAAATCGACACCCTCCACGGCGACATCCAAGCTACTGTCGACCGATTCGCGTCGGTTGACGAAAGATTCGACTACATCGAGCACGAGATCGGTACTTTGACTACTACGGTCAACTCCCTTTCGTCGGATGTCACCCTCATGATCGACAAGATTAACGACGTTCTCGACAAGAAGCCAGACTCGACTTTGTGTCCCCCCTCTACTGTGGTAGTCCCTCCGCCTTCAGAGAAATCCCGCCTCGAGCTACCCAAGGAAGCCATTGATGCCCTATTCTTTCGTGGCCAAAGCTTCCAGAACAAGGTGGATAAGTGCTGTGCAGCATGCAACAATGCTCCTACGGTTGAAGGTGGTCGATTTATTGGTAATGATGATCCGAGATCCTTCGCTGAATTTTCTCAACTTGTTCGCCAACATAATATGTACCTCTACGGTGATGCGGTTACCCGATACTTCTTCCTACTACATAACCTCTCTCCGAGCGTTCACAACTCCACAGTGTTCGGCCTGCAATATGGTGATGCCCAAGATACGCCTCAATGTACCAGTGTGGACGACTTTCAAAGGCTACTCGACAAGGTATGGAACCATCTCATGGATGAGTTTGCGAAATCATCCGGCTTATTCGACCACTACAAGGCACTACAACTTCTTAAACTCTCTCCCGGTGCTGACTTTGACGGCCATCTCAGTCGGTTCACTACCCTTATCCGTGCCATACAGAGAGAGAAGGGCTCCATTGATGACCGCGAGACCGCCGCCCACTGGTACAACAGTTTGGATGAGCGAGGCCAAGATGACATAGATCGGGCCCCTGCTCAAGACGTTAAGACCTTCGTCCAGATGCGTGAGAGATCTCGAGGCTTCTACCGATCACTCAAGAAGACGTGGAAGGCTAACGCTGCTGGAAAGTCAATCACCACTAATGTTGCTACTGCTGCGGGTCCGGCGACTACAACTCAGGCTCATCAACCTCTTCCTACACAACCGGCCTCAACTCGTCCAAAGCCTTCTACATTCTGGGACACTACAGCCCAACGCCCTGCCGATGGTGTGACAGACGGGTCTATATTCAACCTCGACTTCATACGGAAGTTCCGGTGTCAACGTTGTCTCTGCCACGACCACAGTACCGGCTCTTGCAAACAATCTAAGATGGCTTTCGAATCTCTACGTTGTGCTCGATGCGGAACTCATCATGATCCCGTACGGTTCCCAGAAGCTCACTGCCGAGACAGCAATTGCTACCGCTGTGGGAAGCGAGGTCATATGAGTCGTGCTTGTCCCGAACCACTACCTCAGAAACCCGATACCACCCCTTCAAGCTCTACTGGTACCGAAGGGGCCAAGATTCAGGCTAATGTACTCCAGATCACTGACTCCGATGGGTCTGGATTACCCATGATAAAACTAGCTATCTCATCACCTGACTACGACTCGCCCGAGCCCGAAGGTCGTGTAGCTGCTAACGCTCTACTGGATTCTGGTGCTGAACAACCGCTATGTGCCGAAGATGAGTATAATCGATGGTGTGATGCTGGGCTCGTCCTTCCGCTAGTCCCTGATCCACGGACCATCATCTTCGGTAACCCCTCACACCAGTCAGCGACTCTCGGTAGAGCTAGTGTGATCCTACATCTCGACGACCGAACTTCTATCGTGGCCGATATACTAGTGGTCAGGTCGCTCAACTACCCCTTCATCGTGCCAACTAGTCTATTACGACGTACAGGTGGTGCGGTATGGATGATCTACCCTAATGCTGCTCAACAAGATAGAATCATCGTTGGTCAGGAATGTCAACAGCTACTGGCTACTCCTCTTGACCCCAGGTCTGATATGGAGGCAACTGCCCCTTCTCCTTATGTGAAATGCCATCAAGTGACTGCGAAGAGCATCAATGATATGAGCCTCAACGATGTGTCTATTAACCACCAACGAGTGAAGAACAGCTCCAAGGCCGTGGACCTCCCTGTCACTCTGGTTGACGACCGTGATGCCCCCGACGGAAGATGTTATATCAAGATCCCGTGGAAGGATCCTACTGCGAGACCACCTCCTAACTTCAAGGCCGCCTATGCCAAAGATTGTACGAGCACCAGGAAGCTCTCCCCAGAGCAAAGGCGCCTGTATGCTGACGCTATCGATGCTCAACCTGGTAGAGGTCCTCCTACCCGTAATATGCTTCGACAACTCCGTCTAGCGGCGGCGGCAGTGTAGCGATCGCTTCGCTCCGCTAGGCAGTTTCATGTCGACTTGTTGAAACGGCTGAAACGGCTAGGCGTCGAATTCGTTCTCTTTTGCAGTTCTATGATCATATTGCTTTGTTACACTCGCTACTTTCGTCCTTGTCGATCCCATTAGTCGTCCCTTAGACATAGGTTGGCTTAGTAAGCACAAGCCCTTGGGACACTAGTGATCGTAAGACGACTGTAGCCATCTTGGCTCAAGATCGTAGTTGGGTTCTTCTCCCTCTTCCCTCATTGATTCTTCAACCCTTCTACCCCAAGGATAACTTAGCGATCTGTCTGCAGAAATGCCCGGTTCTTGTGTTAACAACCAGGTTGGTAATCAGCCAGCTCCGCTACAGATGAAACGGTAATGAGCAGTCCCACCCTGCCCTCCTCGTCCGTCACAGTCACGTCGGCGCCGGCCTCAACGAGGGTCTGCGCTTCCCGTATGTTGAGGAATCGCAATGCGTGTAGAAGAGGAGTTGAACCAAGAAGGAACAGCGGCAAGGGGATTGATGACGTTGGAGCCGACACAACCTGATATTGGCAGATTCAAAATTGGCCCCATCCTTCCAACAGCACAACATTTCCGAGGTAATTCAAAATTTGCCCCCGAATTTTCAATAATTTCCTCATTTTTTCCGAGAACAATTTCTCTTCTCAACTCTTTACCGACTGTACTTTAAAACTAACGAAACTTCTGCCTTAGGCAAAGAATGATATTCTGCCAAAATTTCAAAGGGTAGGATTTGTATCTCAGAGTAGGACGATGGAGAACTCACCGGACACGTCCGATGAAAGGGCCTCTCCGACTGCTCATCCACATCTTGGAGTGAAGCATTAAGATTGCCGCCGAAACTGAAGGCAACCGAGTCGACTAATGGATAGAAGACTCCATTAAACGCCGACGGGCCGCGCGAGAATCTCGCGTTGAAAATGCCCTACACCGATGTATGAGTTGAGATGAGAGAGTAAAGAAAATGCGATGAGCTGAAGAACGGTGGAGGTCACGAAAGGGAACTACATAGAGATCAAGTTGACGTGCTGGCAACCACCGTATCGGGCAAAGTAGTGGAGGAGAGTACCTGTCATAAGGGAAGTAGTACCCTTCAACGAGCCCTGTGCGTGACATCCGCGATAAAGCCATGGAGCCAGGCACGAGGCATCGTAAACACACACGGATTCCAAATGTCTGCGATTGATCTAATTAGTTTGATACGAGAGTTTATTCCATTTCAGCGACGCCCTACAATCTTTCGTACACTCAAATGCCTTGCAGTGAAATGAGTCACGAAATCTAATGCCCATGGTGCATGCAGCTTACATCTGTTCCAGTAGATGGATAATAATGCATCACGATGGAGCACCAAGGCCACATACAGTATCTCAGGGAGCAAGTTCCTTCGTTTGACCATAGAAAAGAGCGATCTCGGCATAACATTGACATCCGATGGGAGACTAAGGGTTATTATATGTCCGAAAGTTGAAGAATCACTCACAGTGGGGATCCCAACGATGTGCAGATTCCCGCCATCCCATAACCACGGACTGCCTCGCAAAGTAGAGAATTGGGATTAACAAGGCCACCACGTCTCGCCTCTCGAGAGGAGATGCTGCTGGACAACACGGTATACAACTAAAGTGATGATATGATAAGACGATATGTGGAGGGTTGCTACTTTGGAGGATGCTCGAGCAACCCTGTGCAGATCGGCGGGAGTGAGGAACATCCCAATTTCAAAGAGGATTTCAGGACGGTGGATCAGAGTAGACGCGACGTTCGTCGAAGCCGTAGAATCCATTAATCCAATTGGCTGCTGAGAGGTGGATAACATAGGGAGGGATTGGTGTCACTATCAGCCAAGAAAACGAGTCCTTTCTTACACGCACACGCACGTACGATTAGATCAATCGGTAGAGCACACGGATATCAATGTACCGGTCGTGGGTTCGAGCCACGGGAATGACAGACAAACTCCAGCTCACTTATTGCTATCCAATGGCTCTGACGGTTGCTGGGCTACGACTCGCCGTAGAGTTTCGTCGATTCTCGAACTCGAAGCCGATCCCCTCAAGAACCATAGATGAGCTCCAGTCGAAGACTCCCTGATCGGTTGGTCTGTGTGACACAGTCTGTGCCCATACGATAGAAGTATACCATATTATATTCTTGAAGGTACTATAGACTCTATAGTAG